TGCGCCTCGCTCGGGCTCCTGTACGCGAGCACCCGGGACGCGCCGGGCCTCCGGGCACCTCTCGCGCTGTGGGCGCCCCCGCAGGGGCCCCCCAGGCCCGGCCTGCCAGACCTCGCCCCTGAGCCCCGCTACGCACACATCCGGGTCAGGATCAAGGAGCAAGTCGTGGGGTGAGTGTGACCGCGGCGGCCGCAGCGCGGCGCTCACCGGGGGGTGGCCTGGGGGCTTTTGTTTCCTCCGCCGCTGGGCTCAGATGCCTGCGCGTCCCCCTGCTGGGTTGCGTGGGGTGGGGTGGGAGGCGGCTGGGGCTGGAGCTGGGGAGAAGTCTGTCTCCCCTGAGCCTTGCCACGGGGAAGGGGATGGCGACGAGAGGCTGTGCAGTCAGCCTAGGGCCCTTGAAGACTCCCTGAGGTCCCGATGCAGGCCTGAGAAGAGTCCCGATGGGGCCCTCGCAGTGGGTAGGCAGCCCCTCAGCCCTCTTCACTGGCCCTGTTCCATGCCTCTGTAAAACCCAGATTTAGGAGACGGGTCATCCCATCCGGGGCTCCCTTCCCGAGGTCTATCTGAAAAGCAATGTTTAAGGGGCCATCCTGGGTGGGCAAGGCAGAGGAGCCTAATATGAGTGTCTGTGGGGCGAATGGGCTGTGCCGTGGCCCCTGATGACCCTCCCTCCCCACTTCAGACTGCTGGCCCAGAACAACTGCAGCTGTGTGTCCAGTGGGAGGGGCCTCTCCCTCCCCTTCCAGAGACAGGTACGAGCCATTGACCTCACCAAGGCCTTTGACCCTGAGGAGCTGAGGGCTGCCTCTGCCACAAGGGAGCAAGAGTTCCAGGCCTTCCTGTCAAGGTACCAGCACGAAAGGAGCAGCCTCGGGGGGAGAGCAGTGGGAGGACCAGAGGGTGGCTGTCCCCGGAGGGAGACCCCTCATCCCGACTCCTCTTCTGTCCTCCCCCTCCTCCACTGCCAGGAGCCAGTCCCCGGCTGACCAGCTGCTCATTGCCCCTGCCAACTCCCCCCTACAGTACCCCCTGCAGGGCGTGGAGGTTCAGCCTCTCAGGAGCATCTTAGTGCCAGGTGGGGAAGAGGGTCCAAGAGGATGACCTGGGCACATGGGGGAGGCAGACCCCAAGGGTGGGTGGAGAAGAGTAAGCAAAGTTGGAACGGGAGGTGGAAACTTCTGATGAAAGGGGGCTTGAAGCCAGAAGGGGGCTTAGGAGGTGGGAGATGAGGACAGAAGGGACTCCGGGAACTGCAGAAGACTATGTGGGCAAGTGTGGGGGAAAGAACTCATGTTCTGTGGACTAACAAAGGTTAGGTGGATAGTAGGGCGGGCCACTCCCCACCTAACGAAGGGCAAGCTTTGATGGGAAGGGGTAAAAAATCAGTCCCTCTCAACGATGTTATGCAATGTGCCCTGCTAAGGCCTCAGGAAGAGGAATGGGCGGAAAGCACCGTTTTGTGTGTGATGAAAGAGGGGAGTAAAACAAGGAAGAATTCGGGGCTGGCTGTCTGATTCTGATCCCATCTTCCTCCCAGGGCTGAGCCTGCAGGCAGCTTCTGGTCAGGAGGTATACCAGGTGAGAGAAAACAGGAAGGCGAGGAGGCCAGGTGGGCATCGCCAATGCTGGGAGGGAGACAGGGCCACCAGGGAGGGGTGGAGGGATCAGGGAGGCAAGACCAGGCCCTGGACCTAACCCCTCCCTCTCCAATCCCCTCTCCCAGGTGAACCTGACAGCCTCCCTGGGCACCTGGGATGTGGCAGGGGAAGTGACTGGAGTGACTCTCACTGGAGAGGGGCAGCCAGATCTCACCCTTGTCAGCCCAGAGCTGGACCAACTCAACCGGCAACTGCAACTGGTCACTTACAGCAGCCGAAGCTACCAGGCTAACACAGCAGACACAGGTGCGAGCCCCAGGGGAAGGGGCCAGCAGAGAGGACCAGCAGAGAGGACCCAGCAGAGAGGACCCAGCATGGCTGGAGTGGGCAAATGGCAGAGTGTGGGAGGCATTTGGGCAATGGCCAGAGGTTCCCAGCCATACAATGGGCACTTCAACTGGGCCAGCAGGGCCAGGGCGGGAGAGAAGGGGCCTTTGTTCATCTGGGGCCAAAGCAGGCCAGAGGGAAACCTGAACCTTGGGTGTGTCCCCCCTCCAGGCCAACCATGGAGGGCCCAGGAAGTGACCTGTCCCAGGAGCCAGCAGCCTCAGGCTCTGTTCCCAGCCCACCTTGCCACTAGAGGGCAAAAGTCTTTACCTTCTAGAGCTGCTGTTTCTTCTCTGGCAAAAGGGGCCTGGGAGCTTGTCTGCTTCTCTGCAAAGCTTGTTTGTAACACTGTTTGCTTTAAAGGTCACTTGAGAGTCTCTGCACTCGTTTTCTCTGCCTGGAATGTTCTTCCCCTAGATTCCTGCATGACTGGCTCCTTCTTGTCATTTCCATCTCAGCTCAGATGTCTCCGCCTCACTATTGCATGACTTGTCTTATTTTCTATTCAATACTTACCAGTAGCTGTATCTTTAAATTTACTTAACCTGGGACCAGACTAGGTTCCTATCAGTTTTGTTGCTTAACAGTAGTTTAAGTGTGGGCAAGATTCTTTTCAGCTTCTTTTTCTGTGGTAGGACTTCTTCATTGGGCTATCATGAGGATTAAATGCATTCTTATATGTAAGGTAGTTTTTAAGAGGGTCTGCCACCTAGTAGGTGCTCAGTAAGGATTAGCTTTTACTTAAAAGGCTTTTATTATCTTTCTCCTCCCCATAAGTAAATTCCACGGAGGTAAGAACCTTGTGTTCTTGTAAACCAAGGCCTAGAAAGGAAGGACACAGAACAGGCCCTTAAATATGGACCTGCTGAGAAAGGAATGTTGTCCCAGCCATCAGGGCCAAATGACATGTCCTTTCTTCCCAGTCCGGTTCTCCACCGAGGGACATGAAGCTGCCTTCACCATCCACATAAGACACCCCGCCAACCCTCGGCTGTACCCGCCTGGGTCGCTACCCCAGGGAGGTGAGGCTGGTAGGGACAGGGACCTATTCAATGCAGCCTTGGTGGGGAGTAACGTGGGAGTGGTTGGCCCCGGGAAGGGCCTCCTGTTCCCCTCTCCCCAGTCTCCTTTCTGCACCCAACCCTGTGCTCTCAATCTCAGCCCAGTACAACATCAGCGCCCTGGTCACTATTGCCACTAAGACCTTCCTCCGTTATGATCGGCTGCGGGCTCTCATCGCTAGTATCCGTCGCTTCTACCCCACGGTCACCGTGGTCATCGCCGATGACAGCGATAAGCCAGAGCACGTCAGCGGCCCCCACGTGGAGCACTATCTCATGCCCTTCGGCAAGGTGGGCAGCCAGCAGGCTATTGGTGGGTCAGAGGACTCTGGGAAGGGGTGACCCTCATCAGCAGCCTCCAGGGTAGTGATTCATCCAGGAAACACCTGCCTCAGAGCCATGACGTCTCAATTGCTATGTTGCTCAAGCTGGTCTCGAACTTCTGGGCTCAACCAATCCTCCCACCTCCGCCTGCCAAAGTGTTGAGACCATGGGCATGAGCCACCATGTCCCTCTCTGCATTTTAAGAATGGTGCTTAATACCTACTGGGCACTCAGTAAAACAGCTGATGAATAAATGAATGCATGCAGAAATTAACCTATGCCAAGACCCTCTCTCAGAACACTGACTGAGAACCTCTGGGAGTGGGGGTGGGAGCTGCTTTTCTTTTCTTTTCTTTTGAGTCGGAGTCTCACTCTTGTTGCCCAGGCTGGAGTGCAGTGGCACACTCACGGCAACCGCAGCCTTGACCTGCTAAGCTCAGGTGATCCTTCCGCCTCAGCCTTCCAAGTGGCTGAAACTACAGACACACACTATCATGCCCAGCTAGTTTTTGTGATTTATTGTAGAGACAAGGTCTCATCAAGCTGCCCCGGCTGGGCTCGAACCTATAGGCTCAGGCAGTCCTCTCACCCTGGTCTCCCAAAGTGTTGGGATTACAGGTGAGCCCCCGTGCCCAGCCTGCAATTTTTTTTTTTTTTTTACTTAGTTCCTGGTCATTCCAAAGCACTCAAAAATTTGATGAGGGGGCAGGGTGCAGTGGCTCATACCTGTAAACTCAGCACTTTGGGAGGCTGAGCCAGGAGGATTGCTTGAGTCCAGGATTTGAGACCAGCCTGGGCAACATAGTGAGTTCCCATCTCTATAAAAAAAAAAAAAAATCAAAAATTTAGTTGGCCATGATGGCGCTGGCCTGTAATCCCAGCTACTGGGAAGGCTGAGGCAGAAGGATCACCTGAGCCCAAGAGGTTGAGGCTGCGGTCAGCCATTATGGTGCCACTGCACTTTAACCTGGGCGACAGAGTGAGGCCCCGACTCAAAAAAAAAAAAAAATTGTTTGGAGAAGGGCACAGGCTGTTGAGAGGGATAAGGAGAGAAAAAGAAAAGTGGCGGGGGACATCTCTACAGGCCCCCAACCATACACACCTCTCCCCCCAGGGCTGGTTCGCAGGCCGGAACCTGGCCGTGTCCCAAGTAACCACCAAGTACGTGCTGTGGGTTGACGACGACTTTATCTTCACTGCGCGGACGCGCCTGGAGAGGCTCGTGGACGTGCTGGAGCGGTCGCCGCTGGACCTGGTACGGGGCGCCGCGGGAGGTGGGTGGGAGAACGACCTTGAACTGGCTAAGACCATGGCGGCCCCCTCCGCGGGCCGCTCCCTCCCAATTTGCTCTCCCCAGGGCTGGACCTGATAGGTCCCTGCCCCTACCAGCCTCACCTCCCTGGGCTGGAGACCCAGATGGGTGCAGCCGAGAGGGGGGGCGGGGCGTCTTAGCGGGGGGTGAAGCCTGCCTCACGTCCCCTCCCTGGGCCAGGGGGAGGTCGACGAAGTGGGGCTGGGGAACTGATGCCGAAGCCGATGGGGCAGGGGGACCACGAGGGAAGCGGGAGCACGGGCCCGCCCCCCGGTCCCCGCCGCGCCTGCAGCCACCCTCCCACTCCCCAGGTGGGGGGCGCGGTGCGCGAGATCTCCGGCTTCGCCACCACGTACAGGCAGCTGCTGAGCGTGGAGCCCGGCGCCCCGGGCCTGGGGAACTGCCTCCGGCAACGGCGCGGCTTCCACCACGAGCTCGTCGGCTTCCCGGGCTGCGTGGTCACCGACGGCGTGGTCAACTTCTTCCTGGCGCGGACCGACAAAGTGCGCGAGGTGGGCTTCGACCCGCGCCTCAGCCGCGTGGCGCATCTGGGTGAGTGGCGCCCCCTCCCGGCCGGGCCTGCAGGGACCCCGCGGGCGCCGCGCGGCCAGGCGCCAAGGTCATGGCAGCTCCCCCACGCCCGCGCCCCGGGAGCCCCGGAGCAGGTCTGCGCGGATTCACTAAGAGCTGCACCCGGCGGGCGGGAGGCACACCCTACCTCGGCCCCGCCGGCCATTTACACCTCCACTGCCTGCACAGCCCCTGTGTTCCCTTGAGCCTCCCCTGTCGCTGTCACCGCCACCCCACTCCCTTCGCTCTCCCTGCTCAGACCGTATGGCGTTTATGGAACGGCAGGTGGCGTGGGGAAGTGTAGGTTCTTCCGTTTTCGCTCTTTCTTTCTTTTTTAGATTGGAAATTTTCGTTTATTTAGACAGTAAATTAGAGAGAGAGGAGAGTCACCTCCCCAAGGTAGGGGAGGGGACCAAAGCTTAGGAAAACATGGCCTGGCTATAGCTCAAAGAACACATGGCCACATCATAGCTTAGCAAGGCAATGAGGAATGGGGGGCTGAGGGAAGAGATGGGGAGAGAGAGAGATTGATTCACCTTCCCAAGGTAGGGGAGGGGGGCCAAAGTCGGGAAACATGGTAGCCATAACTCCACTTCTTCCATCTTCAAAGCACAAGACAGGTGGACTGACTCCATTTTACAAAAGAGCAAACCTGAGAACCAGAGGAGTGTATTTACTTGCTCAAGGTCCTTAGAGTCTCTGCATGCACGTGCTTCTACCCTAAATTTTATGTCTCCCATACTGCTTGGACTTTGGCACCCTTAGGTCCCTTCACTGTGTAATCCTCTTCCTCTACCCCCAGAATTCTTCCTGGATGGTCTTGGTTCCCTTCGGGTTGGCTCCTGCTCGGACGTCGTGGTGGATCACGCATCCAAACTGAAGCTGCCTTGGACATCCAAGGATGCCGCCGCTGAGACTTACGCCCGGTATCGTTACCCAGGATCACTGGATGAGAGTCAGATGGCCAAACACCGCCTGCTCTTCTTCAAACACCGGCTGCAGTGCATGACCGCAGAGTGACATCCGCTGGGACTTCCTGTCAGGCTGGGCCTGTCTCCTTGTCCCTGCGCGGAACTTCCAACAAACCCCACGGCAAAGTGAACCCTCCACTGATGTCCCCAGGCTCCTAGTTCCTCACCCCTCCCTTTCAGAACCTGATCCTGAACAGGGGCTTGTCCTGGCGACACCCCTCCTTTTGCGAGTGCCCAGAGGCCTGATGGAGCCATAACCTCACCCACAGCCAGTGCCAAGTCCTCCCCTCACCCCATTTTCATGGGGTAAGAAATGGGGGGGTCACTCTCCAAGTGCCAAAGAGCCCGGGGGACTCCAAGATCCTAAGTGGAAACTCTTTCTCATCTTCTTGGGACTGAGGGGGTGGGGAAGTTCCCCAACACATCATCCCAGGACTGTGCCCCCACCCCGTCTCTGGACCCAGGACTGTGCACGGGCTCCAGCCCACCCCCACCTCCACGGAGAGAACCTATGACTCTGGAGCTGGGATGGGGGCTGGTGAACACATGGTGAAAACCATTTTCATTTGTGTCTCTGCAATGCTGTGGGTACGGAGGAAGGGGCGCCGGGGGCACCTAGACTCACTCTAAGGATCCCAGAGGCTGTCAGTTTCATTTTATTGGTTACATTAAGCAAGGGGCTTAGGGGTCACGGTCCTCCTCACATACGTTGTTGGGGCCCTCGGCACTCCAAGTGACCGGGTCAGACCCACACTGTGCAAATCTTTGGACCAGTGAGCTCCTGGAGAAGAGAAGGGACATTTCAGGAATAGATTAGATACCCCCTCCCTTGCTGAGACGTGCTAGTCCTCTGCGGGGTACCCCACCCCCTTTGGGACCTGAGTCCTTCAGTTCTTCACTTGTAGTTGGGTCTAGTCTCCCTTGATTTGGTCTTAAATTCACTATTCATTTCATCCCCACTCCTTCATCTTTTTTTGTTTGTTTGTTTGTTTTGTTTGTTTGTTTGTTTTTTGAGTTGGAGTCTCACTCTGTCGCCCAGACTGGAGTGCAGTGGCCGCTCCCGGCCACCGCAGCCTCGACCTGCTGGGCACCGGCGATCCCTCCGCCTCAGCCTTCCAAGTAGCCGGAATTACAGGCATGTGCTACCACGCTCGGCTGATTTTTTGATTTATTGTAGAGATGAGGTCTCGCTGCCCAGGCGGGTCTCGAACCCGCGGGCTCAGGCAATCCGCTCACCTCAGCCTCCCAAAGGCGCAGGATTACAGGCTGAGCCACCGAACCCGGCTACCTTCATCTTTTTTTAAAAAAATTTGTAGCGATTGGGTCTCATTATGACACACAGGCTGGTCTCAAACTCCTGGCCTCAAGGGATCTTCCCTCCTTGGCCTCCCAAAGACTGGGATTACAGGCCCCTGCCCTCCCCATCCTCCTTGGTCGTCTCCTCAGTGTGTTGCCAGTCCCTCTCCCTGAGTCCTCAGCCACTCGCCCCCACCCCACTTGCCACAGCCAGCACGTCCTGGTTCCCGCCCCTGATGCAACCGCCCCCTTACCAGTCTCTCCAGGGCATGAGCAGCTGCATCCTGGACACTCACAAACAGCTGTTCTGGGGTCATTCTGTCCAAGAGTCCTGCCCGAGTCAGTGTCCCCAGCACCGAGGCTGTGTGGCGAGAGTGTCAGACTCCAAGGCCCTGAGGCCACACCCTGTTCTCTTCCCTCCTCCAAGTCACCATCATTCCCCAGGCACTGCCCACCGCCCTCCACACCTCTCACCATGACACTGAGCCAGGAGGAAGTGGATCCCCGCCTCTCGGCATCGGCTGGCCAGCTGTGGGGGTGGGGCAGAGGGGTGAAGTCCCAGATCAGAGCGCATGAGTGACATGACAAGGGCTTTCTCCTCAACCCACCCTCTCCTTCACCTGTACCACTTCTCTGGCCCCAGCAGCATCTGCAAAGGTGACACCACTGAAGTCTAGGACCACCACTCTGACAGGCTCGGCAACTAGGATGGGAGAAGGCAGGCGTCCCCAGATGCCGCTGTGGCTCATGCCCAGATCTCCCTCCTTATCTCATCTCACCTGTGTCAGGTGGGCCATCTGGCTTTGAAGTCTATGGGTAAAGAAGGGTAGTCACCACCCCAAGACACAAGCATGACATGCACCCCTTAAGCAAAGGGTCCCCCTTAGAACACCCACCTGCCTCCTGCTCCTCCTAGACCAAGGTCCCTCACCTTGCCTCCTTCTCCAAGCCCCAGATGCCACTCCAGGATGTGGCGAAACTGCCCACGGGTTCCAAAGTAGAGTGGTGTTGCATAGCTTAGGATGCAGAGCCCTGGGACCTGGAGGAGCTAAGGGACCAGGGGTCAGAGAATCTTCCAGGCCTAAGCTTCTTTTCCTTCTTTGCCTCTAGCCCACCCACCTTGTGGCTCCCTCTGAGTGGTCTGTAGAGCTCCGTCCCTTCAGCCAGTCCAAGTGCCAGGCACTGCACCCTAGGGGAGAAGTGGGGGTCAGATTCCCAGGCTAGCCCGGCCTGGCTGGAGTGTCACCCCGAACACCCTGTTCTCTCCCACTCCACTCCTGCCCCAATCTCAGCTCCACTCATCTCTACGCCCACCTCTGGGTGCGGCAGACCACAGTCATCATGGAGAAAATCACGCCCAAGGCCAGGCCCAGGTCCACACTCAGGGTCACCACAGCTACCCATGTGACCATCCACACAGCCTACAGGACACGGATGGGGTGGATTGCCCCAAAGAAAAACCAGGCCATCAGTGCCAAAGAAAGGGACCTGGGGCAGGGACCAAAGCAAGTGACAGGATGGGATGGCCCAGGAAGTAGAAAACATGACAAGGAAAGGACAGGCTTGACCCCACGGGGCACACACCGAATGTCATTACAGACCTGCAGCCATGGGGAGGTTACAGATAGTCAAATCCGAGGGTTTCAAACCCCTACCTGTTCCTCCCTTGTCTCTGAGTAGAGGGTATTAGGAGGTGTGTGTGTGTGTGTGTGTGTGTGTGTGTGTGTGTGTGTGTGTGTGTGTGTTGAGGGGCAGGGGAGTTGCAGAACTTAAGGACAACCAGTTGAGAAGGTAAGGGGGGCCATGGTGGGGGTAGTGCTGCCATTTCTCACAAAGTCCATGCGGCTGATGCGCCATAGTTGTGGAAGTTCCTGCATCTGGAAGAACATCTGGCGCATGCTGGAGATATTGATACAAGCCAGGACAGCCTAGGGGCAGAAGAGGAGGGTGGCCACCCCTGTGTCCTGAAATATTACCTCCCCTCCCACCCACGCTCACACCTCCTCTGCTCCTTACCTTGGGCAGATAGTAGAAGAAGGGCCCCAGCCACAGGAGCACGGACAGGACCACTGCGCAGGAGAAGAAGCCTGCCAGCTAGAGGGAAGGGGGGATGAAGGCAAAGGAGGATGGGAACCCCACCCCCACGTGACATCTGGCCTCCCTCCCGCTCTGCCTCATCTTCCTGAGATGCCTCTCTTCTCCCAAGTTTCCTTCCACACAGATATTCCTCACGCCTCCATCCCCTTCTAGATTCTCCGCCATTCACACCAAACCCTCCCCTTCCCCCAATTAAATGCCTGTCATTGGCCGGTCTTCCCCCAGATGTACCGAGTTCAAGCTCCCCATTTTTGTAGCCCACCTCCATCTTTAAGGCCACTGCTGGGTTACCCCACAAGCTTAGGGCACCAGCAAAGTCAGGGAAAACAGAAATATTAGGGGAAGATTTTGATAGGTGGTCTTTTTCACTTAAAAGAAAATGCCCTCGTGGAAAGAAATCAGAATTTCATCTTTTAAATTTATTTTATAGTTTAGTATTGTTTTTATTTTGAACTACATCAGGACACCAGACTTTTTCAGTGCTTATGACCTACAGAGGTCTTCATGGGGTGCTGATATCATCTGTCTCTCCTATCTAAATCATTTCCATCCCCTCCATCACCCTCCCTCACAGACTCCCATCCTCCTCCATATCAATGCCACCTGGGTATCCTCCACCACCACCACCTGGCCTGAATGCCCCATCCCTTCTCCTCACCAAGGTGTCCCCTCACCTGTGTGTTCCCACCAGCATCCACAAGTAGACTGGTGGTGGCCAGCGTGGCCGAGTTGGGAAAGCAAGAGAAGAGGGAGGAGATGAGGTTGGAGACTCCATGTGCCAAGAGCTCCTAGAGGAACACAGTGAGATGAAGAGGGCGAGACAAAGGAATGGGGGAAGTCAGATTCGAGGGTTGTCTCCCAAATGGGTCTGGAATTCACAGCCAGAGTCCCACCTGGTTGGAGTCAATAGTGTAGCTATACTTGTCTGCATAGATGGAGGCCAGGGAGGCAGACACCGCAAAAGTAACCAGAGCGATGGACAACGAGTCGGCCAGAATCCCGGGCAGCTCAGCCAGGTTGGGAAGAAGCGGTTGGGGAAATCTGGAGAGAAACCTGTGGTGAAGACAGGTAGGGTGCTTCGGGAGATAGGGAAGACTGAGAAAAGCGGGGGGGGGGGGGGAGGACAAGAGGAGGTGTGGGTGGCAGAAGTGGGAGAAGAAAAAGCCGGTGTCTCTTCCTTGTCTCTTACCCTCCAGGCAACAGCCCCACAATCTGGACATTGTATCTTGTGTCCAGAGAAGAGGTGAAGCAGAGCACAGAGGCCAGGAGCACCTGGGAAAGAGCGAGGTGAGGGTATGGCAGGAGTTGGGGCCCTTGCAGGCTAGAAAGGGCTCAGCCTCAGGGCCATGACACAGGGGCCAGCACCTGGGGAAGCCGGGATATGTTTGGGAGGGGTGCTGACAACCGACTTGGAGGGAGGGAATGTGGAGACCAGGAAAGAGAAATGATGTTTGCGGGGACTGAAGAGAGGGACCAGGGCAGGAAGAGGGGCTCCTGCAAGGGAAAGTTTCCATCAAGAGATGCGACTCTGCCATGCAAGTGGGGAAGCTGGACGTTATCTAGGGATCTAGTGGCGTCTGTGGAGAAGTGAACGTTTATTTAGTCAGGGGGAGGAGGGAGAGAGAAATATATAGGAGGAGGTGGGGGTGGTGGGGAATGCTCTGTGAGTTACAGGGAGGAGGGTGAGTGGTGAGACAGGAGAGGAAATGCTGTGGCCAGCGAGACCTCAAGGGGGGCACTGTAGGAAGGAAGAAGGTTCAAAGGGTGCTGCATGAGACTAGTGGAACAGCGTGGAGGCGGGACTCTGGAAGGTCAAGGTGTCCCGGGAGGAGGCCTGGAAAAGTGGACGTG